AACAGATTGTTGAATGGTGTGTATTAGAATGGTAGTTTGGAACAAATACCACACCGAAAATTTTAAAATGGTAAAGTATGGGAAGAATTTTCCGCGGTCAAAGGTCGGGGAAAGGTCCATTCAGCGAATCGTCTCGGGCCAGATTATTTTACTCCGGCCGCATTTTGCCGACCACTGGGATACGCAACTACCGTCCCTTACTGCGAAGTCCAGAAATCCTTTCGCGTGTGATAATCGCCCACGTGATTCAAGCCTGCGAATGCACACAGATTACAGAATTAAGTGCGCCGAACATAAAACAGGTTTCGCGAAATCGCCCCCCTATCGTCCCCTTCGACTTTTTCGCCCCCCTCTTTATCGTTTTCGCCCACTGGGGGGCGATATCGCCCACTTTGGGAATCACTGGTCTATACTATACGTACAGCCAACGGAACAATACGAAATAACCATTTTCAACAGCCAAACAAAACGGAAACGTATAATCCGACTTGCAACTGACAAGAGCCAAATGGACGTTTTTGTTTTATTGCCGTCCAGTAACAAAGTCACGTGACCCGTGCAAGTCCTCTATTCATAAGCTTCCTCATTTCAATTGAAGCAGATGACAAACTACTGGTATTGGTAGGCCTGGGCGTAGGCCTATTTGCAGACTTGACTTGTGTAGGGAATTAATCATCAATTGCCATAAGGTATTGTTTCCCTAGTCCTGGGAGTCCCCTTCTATTCAATTTTGCATCAACGTATAATCCGACTTGCAACTGACAAGAGCCAAATGGACGTTTTTGTTTTATTGCCGTCCAGTAACAAAGTCACGTGACCCGTGCAAGTCCTCTATTCATAAGCTTCCTCATTTCAATTGAAAGCAGATGACAAACTACTGTTTTTGGTAGGCCTATTTGCAGACTTGACTCGTTTAAGGAATTAATCATCAATTGCCATAAGGTATTGTTTCCCTAGTCCTGGGAGTCCCCTTCTATTCAATTTTGCATCAGAATTTTACCCGATTTACTTGTGTTTTTGTGCTCACGATGTTAATTTGTGACTTCATCGCATGAAATTGATGCGTTTGATCATATTTACGGTTTGATGGCTTCTATAACATGAATGCAACTTTCATGCTGTGTCGTTGTAAACCTATGGTTATTGATTATCGGAGAATCCCCGCAAATCTAATTTTTGCATCAGGATTTTTGAAGCATGTTTTACAGAAAATGTGCAACTTTCGTTAGTGGGAACAATCTGTAACACGTTCAGTATGTTCATTTCCATATAAAACTAAAGAATTAATATATTTCCGCTACGAAACTCAATTTTTAGGCGTTTTTCATGGCCTCATATCACGGCCTAATATGTAATTAGTGACATCGATAAACAAAATAATTGATTTTTTTCTAGAATTTTGCTCAGAGTCTGATTTTTGAATCAGGTAGCGAAATAAATAAAATACTGAGAATTCGGTCCCGCAACCGGATTCTGCACGCCATTAATGCTATTGCTGACATGACCAATGACCATTCACCATGCCGCTTTGCAGAATATCTAGCCAGTACGGTACCCAGGTTTGCCATATTTGCCTTTTTTAACGCCAAATTTGCCATTTTTGGCTTTTTTTAAACGCGTTTGGCGTCAGAATTTCGGTTTGGCTTTTTGGGTTCTTTTTGGCTTTTTTCATGTCTATTCTAGTGTCTATTATTAAAATCATATGAAATACAATATTTAGTGTGTAACAACTGAACAATAGCCTATTACCTGTACTTAGCTACGGTACTTAACATTAGGATTTTCTGGAGCATCGATTTCCTTGTTAGTACGGTACATTAACTCTTACCCATACCCAATAAGAAATAAGTGCAGTTTCTGCAGCTGCTCAGACAGATGTTCAAGCAGGGTTGTAAACATTGCCTCGTTTTTATAGTTTTGCGTGTTATTTGTCAGTTGTCAGTTCTGCAGTTTACGTTCTGTTTCCAAAAAATAGTTGTATAACTCAATTTTCATTATGCCTGATATGGTTTATGTGAGCTTTCAGCTTTAGTTTAATTCTGCAATTGCAATAACGATGTGATTAACTACGCTAAAATTACTGAATTAGATATCATATCAGTGGTCCACCTGTGAGCGGCAGGGGGTTAGATAATTTTTTAATAAAATTGATGGTTTATAAATTTTAAAAGTGAAAAAATTTTCAATAGTAAAGTACGATATAGGGAGAATTTTTTAAGATGTATCACAAGTTTAAGTAGAAACATATTGTAGGTATATTACATACTGACAGACTGAAGCGGCACCCTGTATTGTATATATTGAATGGTAAAATAATGCTGCCCGCTTGATATTTATTTTACTTTCTACAGTTCAATTTGTGTGCCTCACTGAATGAACTGATGGCTCTACATCATCATCAGTACGTTGCCAAGGGCTTAAAATCTGGCAAATCATGGGGCTTTTGTACTTAGTAAAATTGTTGGCTTTTTCTGGCTTTTTTATGTCTTGATTTGGCTTTTTTTGATCGCTGGGGTCTGGCAACCCTGAAGGTACCGTACGGCAGGCTTTGCCGTACCGGTACCTGTCTCACGTTAGATAGGATAAGTTTATTTTGACTCCATAATCAGCATAAAAGGCGATAAAATGATCGATAAAAACAAATAAATAAAAATTGATTATGAAATCAGGAGAGCAAACAAAACCTTGGATGACTGAAAAGGTTTAAATCGTACCATACAGAATAAAAGATGGAAGGTTTTGCCGAAAAGAAGCCGTACCGGTACAGTTCTTGAATACGGTCTGACGGTAGGATGGATTTACATATTCAGAGAGAGAGAGTTTATTATTTTTGTCAACCAAATTAAAAATAAATTTTAAAATAATACATTACACAGCATTTATTTTGGTATAGACTGCGGGACTGGGAGATGGCGATACGATCAAAGCCAGCCACCGAGTCATCCGAGGGAAAGACGATAAGACGGCTCAATCCTATGGAGAACCACGGCCTCTTGTCCTGTTACGCCATGCAGCCATGGTACCGGTACACTGCTTTTGTCTTTATGTCTGTATGTGTAAGACACTGACGGGAACAGGAAGGGTGTCGCACTGGTACCGGTACCTAGTATTACCGACACAGCACCAAGTTATTACAGTACCGGTATTAACTATGTACCGGTACACTTTTGGTATAATTTCCAGACAGTATTCATTACAAAATACAAAGGTTAAACCTAAACTAAAGAAATTGAACATGCAATAAACTATATAGAACACATCAACATACAGCATAAACAAATGCCCCAGCTTTTTTAGCTGGGCCAGTCCCACGAAAAGAGTGAATAATATGAACAGAAGTACCGGTACTGCCCTCCTAACGTGAAATACCAATTATTCATAACATATGTGATCAGTTAAAATGATTTAATCCGGAATGTAGGATCGACAGTGTTAGCTCTATCAGCATCTAAATATTTTACAACTTGAGTGATTACTAAATTGACACAAAGACTGAAAAAAATGTAAGATTTCATGTGACTTGTGATGTATGCTGTGAATGGTAGACTTTGAAAAATATTAATGAATTTTCATCTTGGAATAATATGTGATTCACATCGAATTTATTGTGTAATAGTAAGATGATGACCATGGTCCCCTCCTTTTGTTTCCTAACAGTGTTAAGTATAACATCATTTATATTCGTTTTTAAAAGTACATCCCACTTTACACGTTATGCTGTTTCTTATTTATAATTACATTTCGTAATTATTACTAAATGAGATGTAAGGATGACTTTTTGTATGTTTTTCATTTCTCTCAGTGAACTTAAAATTTGCTCATTGGAATATGATACCATTTACTTCTACTGCATGACACATCGACAATGGACCCATCGTCACAGCTGCGTAATTTGCGTGACTTTTTGTTGATATATAATAGAATGAGTGAACATTGTTTCAATAAATGTGCAACAAATTTTAATTATCGAGTAATGACTCCTTCAGAATCTCTATGTGTTTCAAACTGTGCATCAGTGTTTCAAAAACAAACACTCGGGTGATTAACCAATTTATGAAAAAACAAGAAGAATCTAGGAAAAGATTTGAAGACGCTATGGATGCAAATGCTAAGTTAGATATTGAATCGAAATTAGAAATGACTTCAACGAGCGAAAACATTGTAAACTCAAACGACAGTGAAATGTTGAATACTGAATCAATTAACAGCAGTTGATTATGTAAATTCTCATTTGTAATAGGAAATGCCTAATCCAACTTTTGCTTGCGAATTCTATGAACAAATATTCAACATGAACTCGCACAAGGAAGGATAGCAGAGCAAAAGTTCAATCAGTTAAAACCAGCTGTTTGTAAGTCAAGGTTGTCAATGAAACTGGGATAAGCTGAAAATAAATACGATGGAACTATTTCAAGCACTCAGGATTGCATTACTGAAGAATTATTTATCTGATAAACTCAAGACTATCTTGCACAAAGATTACTCTGAAAAGAGTTCTGGAAGGTTATGTCACCATCAAATGTTGACCTCTTCAAAAAATTCACTCCCTTTTTTCTATTTTTTGCAAGGTGTTGGCTTTTTCACATATTAGTTTGGAACAAGATTTTTTAGTATGACACTTTACTTTTTGTTGGTGATTTGTTTAATACACTGAGAGTTTTGGTGGCAATGGTTTATTACACCAAGCGTTTTAGTGGCCGTGAGGTTTAAACTTGTCTTGAACACATCTTTAACATGTGATTCTCACATAGTTATGTCCTACTTAATAAGTCCTGCAAATGTATATTGGTTGCATATGTGTGTTCATGCTTTATTAAAACATCTGCTTCCTTTAATTTTGTCTACCTATTTGCCTTTTCTTTGAAAAAGTCCCGCCTACTTTTAAACTTTATTATTCAAGGGTTGAGGTAAACTATTTAGGCGCATCATTGCCATATACGAATGTAATGCGTAAAATTCAGTAAAATTCAACCTTGCCCAATGATAAATTTACAATTAAGTTGAATTCTTCTTATTACAGCTTATTATATGCAAATGTAATGCATAAAATTAGACAACATTATTCTAGGTTGGGATGCTATGTCCGTAAAAAGTATTCCTCCAACATGTTTCTTCAAGGATATTGTGTGAAGCATAATATAAATCCTGCCACTGTGAAAACATATGCACGTGTCTTGCATCTGGATGAAGCTGTCGAAAACAAAAGTCCTTTATGTGCAGGTAATGAGCACAAAAAGAAGGTTGACAGACAAAATTGTTTTCCTGAATTCAAGTCCAGAGCTTCATACAAAACTACAACAGAACTTCCTAATAGAATACAAAAAAAATCCGAATCGCTCAAAGGTAATGTTGATTTGAGCAATATACTAAAAATAGAAGAACATCTCATGTTTCCGGCACTGTTAATAGCAGAAATGAATCACTAAATAATTACTTGCTTCCCAAGAGGCTAAATTCATTGCTTTCTCAATCCTGTCAGCATGTCTTCAAAGTTAACTGCCCCAGTAATCACAGTCTAAAACAAAGACAAAAAGTTTGTGAAGATTTAGAATTGTTCTTGAGGTCAGAATGTCATTATGATGTTCGTCTACATCTGTTTGGTTCATCTGGAAATGGCTTCACCTTTCACAAAAGCGACATCGACATATGTTTGGTTCTTGATGAGGTGGAGAACATTATGCCATCACGTCAATTTCTCATAACGATTCTTGAACTGTTGGAGATGTACTCTGGACTAACATCAGTACGTACAATATTTTCTGCCAAGGTTCCAATCATAAAATTTTTGACGAGCGATGGCTATGAAGGCGATATCTCTTTGAACAATCCACTCGCACTGAGAAACACTGCATTACTCACATCATATGCAAAAATTGACGTTCGCTGCAGGATTCTTGGCTACATGTTTAAAGAATTTGTAAAAACGAAATTTGTTAAGAACACATCATCATATGCATACATTATGCTAGTAATATATTTTCTTCAAAAATGCAATCCGCCTGTTCTCCCAGTGTTACAAGAACTTTACGATGGCGATTTTCAACCCGAGCATGTTGTCGATGGGTGGAACGCCTGGTTTTTTGACGACATGAAAGCATTACCCACAAGATGGACTGGCTATAACTTGAATAAACAATCAATTGGCGAGCTATGGTTTGAATTGATAAGATTTTATATGAAATTGATCTCGATAATGATGTGGTATGTATTCGTAAAAACGGTATTATGAAGAAAAAGGCAAAACAACAACATATAAAATTTTTATATTCAACTACCGGTAAATTAAATACGAAACGAATATTTCACAACAGCAAATGGGGAGGAAGATCACTTGTAGTGGAAGATCCATTTGATCATGGACACAATCTAACCAGTAATGTCAGTATGGCTAAATTTAAAACTGTAATAGATTCTGCTAATCGTTTACATACAGCTATGGCAAGAGACCCATTTTTTCTCAATTATATACCTAAAATTAGAAATGCTCACTTATTTTATTTACAGGAATGGACATCACATAAGCTGAATTAATTATCAGTCACAAACTCTTAATACTAAAGACTGATGATTCTTTTACAATTTATTATTTACCGGTATGATGTATTTTCTTACTCAGCAACATTAAATTGTGATGATCACATTTGTTACTGTGTTTGTTTCCACGCATGTTTTCTGAGAATTTCTAATGTGAAGTATACCTCAAGAAATTTTATCAAGAAACCAATTGACTGCGCAGTCGGAATGGTTTAGGTTGCACTGAGTGATTGGATTTCATAAAATGTTGCACACTTACAGTCCATCATCAGCTCGTACTCTTTAATGAACAATTTTGAACATTGATAGGTCAGCATTGTTTCATTCTCAGTGGTATCCTTGTCCTAATTTGATGAAATTTCCGTTCATTGGACCGGTATTTGCTTTTTTTCGTCATAGCACCATCAGTAAAGCTTAGCAGTTTATTTTGTTGGTATAAAACACCGGTGTTATGAGTTTGTAAATAATGTTTAAGAGTGTCCCATCCTCCACCAACACGAACCATGACATGTTGTTCTCGTAACATCTAAATATAGACAGATTCGTTATTATACTAGAGAAAACTATTATGTTGGAGTTTCCAAAGTAATGTTTTATTTACCCTCACAGAAACAAGGTTGTCATGGATTCTGTATAGACAATCTCCCATCCTTTCTATTTCGACTGATTTTTTCAAGTTGTCTGTTACAGCAAAAACTGCATCATCTAATTGCAGAACCTGTCACAAAGAATTACCGTAGTAGCTGCAATATGTATGTTAACTTGTTGCATCAGATATTCAAAGTAGCCGTATGGAATAATACAATGCAAGGAAAGTGGAAGTTGTGAATAGGCTTGAAAAGCAGATATTAATTATATTTTTTGTTTTGTATAGTTCTTTTTGCCATTGAACTGCTTTAGTATCGGCTAATTCAAAACGACAGATATAATACCTTTTTTCTTTTTCTTCTATCCTGTGAGGGAGGAATTCTTGTTTCTATATCGGCTTTGCAACCAATACTTTTCATTAAATTAATCGTTGAAGATTCCTCTCTCTCTATATCATTTTCTAAATGTATCAATTCTGGCATGGAAACGCCAAATCTAAATCATAACGTGGACGTCTTAGCGAAGCACCTCTGATAAAACTATCAGCTATGATAAATGTATATAAAAACTATTGCCTATTAGGAATGGTTTATTTTCAAGGTGGTCCAGGGCTTGGCAGTGTGGCACATCATAAGCATTAGGAATACTTTTGCCGCCGCACCTCTTGTTACCCTGTGTGGGTACGCTTACGACTTTCTCCACCATCAAGTCCATGCATCTGAAAACCAATAACTGGCTAACTGATCCCATACCCAACACAGACATTTTTTTACATTCAAGCACAATTTCTAAAGTAAACTACACTCACTTGGAAGATATTCTTGCAATTTCAAGCAAGCAGAGAAGAACATTTCTTTTTTGCTTTTGAAGAACTAAAAGCAAAGAATTTAATTCATTAGGTTTTGTTCAAATATAATCTGGCGAGGTTTAATCAAAAAAGTTTATGTTACCGACATCTTCTGATTCAAACATGTATGTATCTTTGATTCCAAAGCCGCGACACCAGGTTATAAAATTGGCGACGTTGTCTCTTGCCAAGAAAGATCCCGGTTTCGCTTTTAATGAAAACTTTGGAGGTTTCGGAAAGGTACCATTGAAAGTTGTGTCTAAACATCAAAGGAAAAGTTTTGTCCAGGAGGATGTATATTCAAATAGTTTTGCAATGCCTGAAAATTGGGATATAGAATTGTTTTAGCAGCCCTACCGTAGTTTGTATTTTCTGTGTTGTACAATGATTGGTCAAAAGCTGCATCATGTATGGCGTGGGCTGCCTGACACAGCACCGTTCCAGTTTGCAAAGTATCAAAAAAAGTCTCTGATGGCAGCTGCATGCCTGTAAAAATTGAAATCAAGTTCAAAGCTGATGCGGTAGGATGGGCTTTATATATTTATCCCGGTTGAGAAAAGTTGCATAGCAGAATGCACCACGCCACTGGGTCGTGTTGTGTACCAGAAAATTGATATTTGCTTACCAAGTAAGCCAGATAACCATATTGTAATGTCCTCTTTTATAGGCAGCAATGCCTGGTCTTCTGACTCTGTTTTATCAGTAACCTCACTCATTTCAGATAACAGGACCAGTCAGTTTATGTACTCGAATAGTTGTATAAGCTTACCGTACCGGTAGAGTGTATTTACGGGAAATATAGTAATTTCTCTTGGGCTCACTTTAGAACTTGACAATCAATGACACGAATTTTAGCATAATGCTACAATGCATAAACTTCGCATGTTTTTTTGAGAAGGTTAGCCGTATTTTTCATCGAATATCTAACGTTATTATTTTTTTAAGTTGAGATTTATTTTAAAAGACGTCTTCCTCAGGCCGTACGGTACCGTACCTAAGCACACAGTGGTAGTTAATAATGTACCGGAGTTGTTCTCGACGTTACGCCCCGGTGACAAGTTGCTAAAATAAAATCGTTCAAGCGAATAAACCGGTACGGTACTAGGAAAACCCACTTTCTAATATTCAATAATTCAATAATTTCAAATCATTTTTTAGAAAAAAAATGTTGTTCTAGAAATTTCCAACGCCATAAAAAAGCCTTAACATCAGTCGAAAGCAGCATTTGAATCTCAACTGACACCAAAGGTCGAGCGGTCACGCAGAACAGTGCTATCGTCCGTTGTCGGACCACTGTGAAGTGACTCTCACGGTGACCTTTGTGTGCAACCAAGCGAAAAGTTCAAATATCATATCAGAATCGGAGGCGGGACTAAATTTCCATACGCAATTAGGAAGCGAATGAATATAAAAATACAAAAATAAAGTTATATACGTTATTTCTGTAAATTGGAACAATAAGTGCGTGCCAGAAAAATGTAAAGTGCGAATCATCAAACAAAAGCTTATAAATATGAGTTTTAAACAAAAAAAATGCAGCACGAGTAATTACTTTAAAAGTAAATATCGTAAAACATACACTTTTCAAACATTACTCACATGTCTTTCCGCCCAAGAGGGGCGAGATTTTATTGATTGATATAAAAAAGATTCATACACTCTACACAATACAATTTGAGTCGATGGGTACAAAATTTTAAAATTATGTGTAATCCATTGCTGAAAAAAGCCTATTTCGCCTATATCGTCATAGGTGAAAAATCGTAAATTTATGCACTTTTCAAACATTACTCACATGTCTTTCCGCCCAAGAGGGGCGAGATTTTATTGATTGATATAAAAAAGATTCATACACTCTACACAATACAATTTGAGTCGATGGGTACAAAATTTTAAAATTATGTGTAATCCATTGCTGAAAAAAGCCTATTTCGCCTATATCGTCATAGGTGAAAAATCGTAAATTTATGCACTTTTCAAACATTACTCACATGTCTTTCCGCCCAAGAGGGGCGAGATTTTATTGATTGATATAAAAAAGATTCATACACTCTACACAATACAATTTGAGTCGATGGGTACAAAATTTTAAAATTATGTGTAATCCATTGCTGAAAAAAGCCTATTTCGCCTATATCGTCATAGGTGAAAAATCGTAAATTTATGCACTTTTCAAACATTACTCACATGTCTTTCCGCCCAAGAGGGGCGAGATTTTATTGATTGATATAAAAAAGATTCATACACTCTACACAATACAATTTGAGTCGATGGGTACAAAATTTTAAAATTATGTGTAATCCATTGCTGAAAAAAGCCTATTTCGCCTATATCGTCATAGGTGAAAAATCGTAAATTTATGCACTTTTCAAACATTACTCACATGTCTTTCCGCCCAAGAGGGGCGAGATTTTATTGATTGATATAAAAAAGATTCATACACTCTACACAATACAATTTGAGTCGATGGGTACAAAATTTTAAAATTATGTGTAATCCATTGCTGAAAAAAGCCTATTTCGCCTATATCGTCATAGGTGAAAAATCGTAAATTTATGCACTTTTCAAACATTACTCACATGTCTTTCCGCCCAAGAGGGGCGAGATTTTATTGATTGATATAAAAAAGATTCATACACTCTACACAATACAATTTGAGTCGATGGGTACAAAATTTTAAAATTATGTGTAATCCATTGCTGAAAAAAGCCTATTTCGCCTATATCGTCATAGGTGAAAAATCGTAAATTTATGCACTTTTCAAACATTACTCACATGTCTTTCCGCCCAAGAGGGGCGAGATTTTATTGATTGATATAAAAAAGATTCATACACTCTACACAATACAATTTGAGTCGATGGGTACAAAATTTTAAAATTATGTGTAATCCATTGCTGAAAAAAGCCTATTTCGCCTATATCGTCATAGGTGAAAAATCGTAAATTTATGCACTTTTCAAACATTACTCACATGTCTTTCCGCCCAAGAGGGGCGAGATTTTATTGATTGATATAAAAAAGATTCATACACTCTACACAATACAATTTGAGTCGATGGGTACAAAATTTTAAAATTATGTGTAATCCATTGCTGAAAAAAGCCTATTTCGCCTATATCGTCATAGGTGAAAAATCGTAAATTTATGCACTTTTCAAACATTACTCACATGTCTTTCCGCCCAAGAGGGGCGAGATTTTATTGATTGATATAAAAAAGATTCATACACTCTACACAATACAATTTGAGTCGATGGGTACAAAATTTTAAAATTATGTGTAATCCATTGCTGAAAAAAGCCTATTTCGCCTATATCGTCATAGGTGAAAAATCGTAAATTTATGCACTTTTCAAACATTACTCACATGTCTTTCCGCCCAAGAGGGGCGAGATTTTATTGATTGATATAAAAAAGATTCATACACTCTACACAATACAATTTGAGTCGATGGGTACAAAATTTTAAAATTATGTGTAATCCATTGCTGAAAAAAGCCTATTTCGCCTATATCGTCATAGGTGAAAAATCGTAAATTTATGCACTTTTCAAACATTACTCACATGTCTTTCCGCCCAAGAGGGGCGAGATTTTATTGATTGATATAAAAAAGATTCATACACTCTACACAATACAATTTGAGTCGATGGGTACAAAATTTTAAAATTATGTGTAATCCATTGCTGAAAAAAGCCTATTTCGCCTATATCGTCATAGGTGAAAAATCGTAAATTTATGCACTTTTCAAACATTACTCACATGTCTTTCCGCCCAAGAGGGGCGAGATTTTATTGATTGATATAAAAAAGATTCATACACTCTACACAATACAATTTGAGTCGATGGGTACAAAATTTTAAAATTATGTGTAATCCATTGCTGAAAAAAGCCTATTTCGCCTATATCGTCATAGGTGAAAAATCGTAAATTTATGCACTTTTCAAACATTACTCACATGTCTTTCCGCCCAAGAGGGGCGAGATTTTATTGATTGATATAAAAAAGATTCATACACTCTACTACATACATACAATTTGAGTCGATGGGTACAAAATTTTAAAATTATGTGTAATCCATTGCTGAAAAAGCGCCTATTTCGCCTATATCGTCATAGGTGAAAAATCGTAAATTTATGCACTTTTCAAACATTACTCACATGTCTTTCCGCCCAAGAGGGGCGAGATTTTATTGATTGATATAAAAAAGATTCATACACTCTACACAATACAATTTGAGTCGATGGGTACAAAATTTTAAAATTATGTGTAATCCATTGCTGAAAAAAGCCTATTTCGCCTATATCGTCATAGGTGAAAAATCGTAAATTTATGCACTTTTCAAACATTACTCACATGTCTTTCCGCCCAAGAGGGGCGAGATTTTATTGATTGATATAAAAAGATTCATACCTCTACACAATACAATTTGAGTCGATGGGTACAAAATTTTAAAATTATGTGTAATCCATTGCTGAAAAAAGCCTATTTCGCCTATATCGTCATAGGTGAAAAATCGTAAATTTATGCACTTTTCAAACATTACTCACATGTCTTTCCGCCCAAGAGGGGCGAGATTTTATTGATTGATATAAAAAAGATTCATACACTACTCTACACAATACAATTTGAGTCGATGGGTACAAAATTTTAAAATTATGTGTAATCCATTGCTGAAAAAAGCCTATTTCGCCTATATCGTCATAGGTGAAAAATCGTAAATTTATGCACTTTTCAAACATTACTCACATGTCTTTCCGCCCAAGAGGGGCGAGATTTTATTGATTGATATAAAAAGATTCATACACTCTACACAATACAATTTGAGTCGATGGGTACAAAATTTTAAAATTATGTGTAATCCATTGCTGAAAAAAGCCTATTTCGCCTATATCGTCATAGGTGAAAAATCGTAAATTTATGCACTTTTCAAACATTACTCACATGTCTTTCCGCCCAAGAGGGGCGAGATTTTATTGATTGATATAAAAAAGATTCATACACTCTACACAATACAATTTGAGTCGATGGGTACAAAATTTTAAAATTATGTGTAATCCATTGCTGAAAAAAGCCTATTTCGCCTATATCGTCATAGGTGAAAAATCGTAAATTTATGCACTTTTCAAACATTACTCACATGTCTTTCCGCCCAAGAGGGGCGAGATTTTATTGATTGATATAAAAAAGATTCATACACTCTACACAATACAATTTGAGTCGATGGGTACAAAATTTTAAAATTATGTGTAATCCATTGCTGAAAAAAGCCTATTTCGCCTATATCGTCATAGGTGAAAAATCGTAAATTTATGCACTTTTCAAACATTACTCACATGTCTTTCCGCCCAAGAGGGGCGAGATTTTATTGATTGATATAAAAAAGATTCATACACTCTACACAATACAATTTGAGTCGATGGGTACAAAATTTTAAAATTATGTGTAATCCATTGCTGAAAAAAGCCTATTTCGCCTATATCGTCATAGGTGAAAAATCGTAAATTTATGCACTTTTCAAACATTACTCACATGTCTTTCCGCCCAAGAGGGGCGAGATTTTATTGATTGATATAAAAAAGATTCATACACTCTACACAATACAATTTGAGTCGATGGGTACAAAATTTTAAAATTATGTGTAATCCATTGCTGAAAAAAGCCTATTTCGCCTATATCGTCATAGGTGAAAAATCGTAAATTTATGCACTTTTCAAACATTACTCACATGTCTTTCCGCCCAAGAGGGGCGAGATTTTAATTGATTGATATAAAAAAGATTCATACACTCTACACAATACAATTTGAGTCGATGGGTACAAAATTTTAAAATTATGTGTAATCCATTGCTGAAAAAAGCCTATTTCGCCTATATCGTCATAGGTGAAAAATCGTAAATTTATGCACTTTTCAAACATTACTCACATGTCTTTCCGCCCAAGAGGGGCGAGATTTTATTGATTGATATAAAAAAGATTCATACACTCTACACAATACAATTTGAGTCGATGGGTACAAAATTTTAAAATTATGTGTAATCCATTGCTGAAAAAAGCCTATTTCGCCTATATCGTCATAGGTGAAAAATCGTAAATTTATGCACTTTTCAAACATTACTCACATGTCTTTCCGCCCAAGAGGGCGAGATTTTATTGATTGATATAAAAAAGATTCATACACTCTACACAATACAATTTGAGTCGATGGGTACAAAATTTTAAAATTATGTGTAATCCATTGCTGAAAAAAGCCTATTTCGCC